AACGAAATAGGGAATTACTTGCTTACTTTTCCTTACTTATTTAAACACTAAGCATAATCATTACGTGAGAGCCATGGTGGCTCAGGAGATAGAGCACTCGCCTGTTAATGAGGTGCCCCGGGTTCGAATCCTAGCGATAGCTGGTCGATTTGAATTCCCCGCCCGGATCACACCGACCACATTGCTGACGTAAACAACCCTCAGTGGTAGACGGATAATGGGTTAGAGTCCCCTTGCCGTCAGGGTAATCATGGGAGGTTTCCGAGGTTTTTTCTCTCCATGTAATGCAAAATGAGGGTTAGTTCCATCAAAAAGTCCTCCAAAATTTCTCCCAAAACTTGATCTAGGAGTTCCCTTGTTTTCTGGATTGGATTCGAAATTACATGGCTACGAAGTTAAACACTGGTAGTCGAAAAATTCAAAATTGCGTCGGCTGTTCAGCAACGGTTATAAAACCATTACGGGACAAAGTCTTGAACTTCAGGGCAAGGTGGATGTTAACTTTTTAGGTGAAGTCTTCGTATTCAGAACTCTAAATGATAAAATGAATTTTAAAACTCTAAATTCCTACAGCTTAATTATTTTACCACTATTGTAAATTTATGACATACGTGGAAACTGCCCAAATTTATTTGGATTCATTAGTTTTTCCTTTAAAAATACTCACAGAAAAAGTTTGAAAACGGAATAAAATGCTATGTTCATTTTATAAACTCATTTCGAACTGTATCCAGAATTAAAAACTCAACAGCGCTTTATTTTCTGCTGTGCCATAAATCAGCTTGCAATAGATTTTTCAAATGATGCGTTTCGTTTGGAAACGCTATGTCAAGAAGATCATGTAGCAACTGGTTCGTAATAATAGTGGCGTCATTTCGGAAAAATATCAAACTCTAAAGGCAATGATAAATTAACTATATGTTAAAAATGTCGGAAAGGAAATTGGTTTATTGTTTGCGACAGAGAAAAAATAATGAATTTGATAGCTAATTTCTCAAAGAGGCTTTGCGTCTTATTTTTCATTAATATAATATTAATTTCAAATAATTCATAGTGTAAACATCAATATATGGGGAAAGTTAATTCATATAATTTTAATGTGTATTACTTCTCAGCTTATGTTAGCTGAATACACTGTTGGGATCAATTCATGTGTCTATAATTGAAAGAAATTAATTTTACTCTAATTGGAATATACTTGGTTGTACTTTCTATCGATAAAAGTATTTTAAATCTTAACTTATTGAAACGTCACCAAACCGTAGAACACCATAACCATTTTTCTTAAATCTGTAGAATGTAAATGATTCGCAATAAATTTTTCATGAAATTCAAACTTATTTTAAATACAATGCTTTTTGTCTTGAGGATGAAAATAAGGTTTAGAAAATATTAGATGGGGAGTCGTACTCGCACGCACACCGAATATAAGATATCTCTCCGAAATCTCGATTGACTTATATTATAATTAAATCAAAAACTGTGAAGAAAGTAAGTTTTTTAAAAATGTGTTTAATAGAAGCTTTATTAGTAGATGACAACAAATCAATACAAACAATTGCCAGCTTTAAGCGGGAACACCACAGTAGAAGCCTTTAAGAAAAGGATTTTTTAATGAATTTTTCAACGATTGGGATTAACTTAATAAATTTTTTTCTAAATGAACACATTTTAATCTTCATTTTATCATGTTGTACATACAAAAGTTGAAAAAATTAGTGTTGATATTATAGAGGGTCTATAACTTATTTTTTAAATTATCCATAACTTGCTATACTCGTAAGTTGAACAAAAATCATCCAAATTTGATTCCGTTTTAATTTTTTAGTAGTTTGATTTTTGATTTTTAAATCCCTTTTCTTGTAGATTTACCTTTGTAACACCTCATATTGTTTTTAGAGTAGCAATCAAAATTCTCCGTCATCTTCATTTAGAGCATATTCTTTGGCTGCTAGACCAACATTTATTTCTGGTTGTTACAAAACTATCAACAACCTAATACACATTTTATCATGTTGTAAATACTATTATTATAAATTCTACTATTTTTAAAACCCATTTATTGCCTTTTTCCAAGTCTGATTTCATACAAAAATAATCTTTTATTGAACCTTACGAATTAAAATGAAAATTTTCACTGATGTACGGCTTAGTCAAAATTTTCAACACTCATTACCTGAGAGGTAGGATCATGTGGGTAAGAAACTAGATACCTGTTTTGTAATTGCCTTAACTAAGGCAAAGTTACCATTAAGTTCTCTGTACTAATAAAAGTAATAAAATAGGTATTAAATATTTTAAGGGTATAGGTGATTTTGTTTTCCTCGAAAAAACAACAGTATAAAACTTTTTTAGACGTTCCATAATTTATCTGAAATTTAAGCTAATCTGAATTTTCTGTAGAAATTTAACATAAGCACAGACATTATTTAAGTGTAAATGCTTTTGTGAAACAGTAATAAAAATTTTAATAATCTAATTTTTGTCAGAACTGAAATTTGTAGAAGTGTCAATACTTTGTCTGCCACGCTCGATAAAAGTAATAAAAATCATGTCAATTGCTCGAAACAACTTTTAATGGGCAATCAAGCATGCATTTTTAAAGCTATACTAGCTTTAATAAATTATAAAACGTACTTTTTGAAAAAAATATATTAGCCAAAAAAATATAAAAGATTGACCAATAGTCAACAACTAGCAGGAATTAAAGCAATATGCCGTACTCAAAAGAATTATCAAGTTACAATATAAGCTTAACACGTTGAATGCCATGGAGGTCACCGGTGACCGGCACTGGGCTTGTTCGTAGAGCCACGGGGGTCACCAGTGACCGGCGACGCCAAAATTATTAGAAACACATAATTCGAGTAAATTTTTAATGCTTTTAATTTTTATATATTATTATCGTTACTAAAATGGTCTGAAGAAAACAATGCAATACATACTGAGAAAATCATTTTGGCCAGACGGGAGAGCCATATAAAATTAGCGCGTTAATAGGTTTATTAGAAGGTGAAATCAGCGAAATAATTTGATTTTAATAATTTTATCATGCATCAGATGAAATAATTTGAATAGATAAAACTGATTTTAAGACAAATCGTTGTATAAATAACTTTAAATAAAATAATTGAGTTTGCAGACGAAAACAGTTTAATAAATGAGTGTTATTTTCTGTTTTCAGTGAGGTTTCAAAATTTTACTTTAACTTAAGAAATTTAAATATCATCGATTATCTTTTTATACTTCATGGGCAATTACTCAGAATAAAACATAATATAAAATATACATTTTATCAAAATTTAATAATTTTTTAAATACCTTTAAACGTTGGAATTGTGGTTTAAAGAGCACAGTTATTGAAAAACTTGTGTCTAAACACTCATTTGCAAATTGTCTAAGACTCTTTGTTACGTAACGATTGCATATTAAACTTATTCTTAATTCCTGCATTACTTCAAATAAAACATTTTGTGTAATCCGACCATACTGTAGTGTTTTGTTTGTTGAACCCTTTAATTGATGCATATGTGAATACTATTTTCTTACATTAAATTTCTATACGTAAACTGTGATATTTCAAAATAAAAGTAGAGAAAAACAGCTTTTTAAGAATTTTTTTTATGCACTCGTATTGTTTGGAAATTTTTTTATGCAATTGAACCATACAAAAGTATTAAAAAAAAAGATTTTGATAAAACCAAAAACATGATACACCAGTATTAAGCATTTTCGATTTATTTCAAATAAAGATTTACAAACCTAAACTTATCATTAGCAATTTTAAATCATTTTTCATTCGAATATTTTATCATCTCAATTTTTTTTTTGTATTTTGCTCCTTATCATTAGTCTTCACAAAAAATTCTACAGTTAAAATTTCCTAAGACAATTTAGATTTAAAAATAACGTTTATATAATTAATTAATAACGTTCATATAATATTAATTTCAATTATATAACTAACAACTATATTTAAAATTTCGACATCACTTCAAGTTCCATGTTGGGAACATCAAGTACCACATAAATTTCAAGTTTCATCTAGAGTATCTCAAAAATTGAGCCAATTAATTTTTACCATTTATAAATATAACATTAATGGCTCATTTTTAAACAAGAAAGTAATTTAGATTCTGTTCACATTATCTTATTTTGTAACCATCGTTAAACAGTGGTCCCAAATTTTAGGCTTAAGACTACCAATGTCTTTCGTAGCCTTGTAATTTTGAACATAATCATAAAGCAAAGGAACAAATATTGTGTGAAATTTGTTTTTTTGATGGAACAAACCAACATTCGCATTACATGCAGTGGAAATTCACGAAAACCTTCCATGGTTAACCTGACGGCAAGGGGACTCTAAACCATGATACGTCTACCACGGAGGATACTTTACGTCAGCACTGTGGTTGCTGCGAGCCGGGTGCGGAATTCTTATGGACCAGCCATTCCTGGGATTCAAACCCGGTTAACTTCACTGGAACGCTCTATCCCCTGAGCCACCATGGTTCAGAGATTTTGTTATTGGAAAAAAGTGTAGATTTATTATTAGGGTCCTATAAGTTGTGCAAATAGGAGGTAAACTCCATAATTCATTGTCTGCATAATCGCTGAATATCACATTTTTATTTTTTTTTAAATTTCTTTATGGTTTGTCTTTGAATGCAATTACACCTTTTTCAATTCTGAGAATCCTTTTAACCACTTGTCTTATCATTTATTTATCTTTTATTTATCATTTATTACTTGTCTTATCATTATTTTGATTATTTTCCCTTCATCACAAAAGCTTCTGATCTAACTTCACTATATCTAAATTGAAATCTTGACTGTAATTCAAAAATAGCTTAGTTGTTTTCTGGATTATATATGCAACCTGTCCGTATAGTTTATTTAAAAAAAAATTGCTGCATAAGATACAGGGTATTATTACGGTTACAAAATGAAAGCTACAAAAACGAAAATTGTTTGAAAGAGTGCAATTGAATCTGTTTCAGATTGCTGCGAAACGTGACAAACAACTAGAAGAGGAAGTAATAGAATGGATTCAAGAAATCTTAGGAGAACAATTACCTAATGGACCATACGAAGAGGTCTTGAGAGATGGTGTTATCTTATGCAAGTAAGTGTGGTCACATTACATATTAAAGGCAACATTTCAACATTTTTAGCAGCTTAGCATTTGTAAAGAAAGCACACTTCAGCACATTTATTTAAGCTATTTTAAAACAATATTAATAAAATAAATAATGGAACTACAGTAAACTAAATGTTTATTTAAAAAAGAAAGTTATAAGTATTTGTAATGAAAAATACCGAAACGTATTTTCATTTTTATGATATTTCGAAAGATAATTTTTAACAAAAAAAATAATGAGTGAGTGGTATGGTATACAATTCTCATAACGCAAGCAATTAAAAGAATTAAAATAACACATAAATTTCTGTTATGATAAAAGCAATTTTTGTATTACGATTAATCGTCATCTTTTGTCTTTATTACTTTTGTTTGCGAACTTTCTCTAGTTTCTCGAGTCTTAAAAAAAGGTGAAAATATACTGCACATATTGGCACCAATTAGCAATTTTGTCCGGTGCCCTGGCACACTGAGTTTTTTTGATCTTACGTGTGTAGTGGGAACACTATGCTTTGAAAATTCAGTTTAACGGTGAAGCATATAATTGTGCACAATTGCTGCATGTTGTGAAACCTTATCCAATTTTTACCTGGCATTCTCTAAAAAGGACAGATTTTTTCAAAAATAAAAAGTGGTTGAACAGGTTTCTTTTTTTGTTGCCCAAAACAGTTCTATCATAATACATTATCGGGATACGAAGTCGAAGCATAGCTCCTTTTTAAGCTTAAGTAATGGCGAACAGAAAGAAATATTCGCTTCGTTTAAACAAGTATATACTACCACTTTTTATACATATTTTTCATGTGTTTTCAGCCTGAGCATCAATGGGTTAATAAGGTGTTGAACTTAACCATAGTATCGTGTAATCAGATTTTAGAGGGATTAGTTTGAAAGATAATGGAAAAAACTTGGCATAGTACATTAAGGTTGCGGAAAATTTAATCAATTAAAAATTTGTTCAAAATTTCAAAATTTCAACAATTTGGACATTTTTTTTTTCCCACACAAAACAGAAGAGTTTATAAAACATTGAGAATATGAACTTTTTAAGCTTTAAAGAATTAAAATTGGATGTATATAAAAAAAACAACTTTGCATTATTAGGAATTAATAATTACGGAAGGTAATTTGGATAGTTAATTTCATAGATATACGAGACGAGATTAAAAAAAATGGTTTTCTGAAAAAATTGGGATTAAAATACTTATATATGCTTCATAATACGCAATTCTATTATACACTTAATTCTTCCAAAACATTCCAAACTTCAAAAAACATTTTAAACACAATAGATTTTTCAACAAAAGAAAGCAAATGTTCAGAAAATGGATTATGTTTAGAATGGTGCTTCTCTTAGCATGCAAAATACTAAATTGGAGGTCGAAAATCCAATCATGAAGGTCAAGAAAATTCAAGTAACTATTTTCTCACTTCTCAATCAGTATGCCACTTATCGAATGAGCATCATCAAACCTTTGTCTACTCCTCTTGAACTTGACCTGGAAGTACAGAACTGTCTCCTCTTTGGAAAATCCCCAAAATCTACAACTAAAGAAAGTGTGCCAATGAGGAACTAGTGGATAACAATGTTGTGTCTTTTAGATTGTAGTGAAGGTGTTCTTCACAAAAAGACTCTTCAAGGTCAAACACTGAACTGATATCCTGAACATTTTTGGGAGTCAAGCAAACGACAGTTATGAGACATTGCCCTCAATGACACCTGCTGATGAAACTAAATATATATGCTACTAAGAAAATCAATTCTTTTTTTGAAAACCCTTGTTTGCCATATTAGAAAGCATTCCATATTCGAAAACAGTATAAGGTAGTTTTATATAAGTAATTAACAAGTAAACTGAAATAATAATTAACTAGTAAACAGAAATAATAATTAACTAGTAAACTGAAATAATAATTAACTAGTAAACTGAAATAATAATTAACTAGTAAACTGAAATAATAATTAACTAGTAAACTGAATTTTTCTAATTTATTCCAACATTTATGTTTTAGAAATAATTATTAATTTTAATAGATGTATCTTAAAGTACTTATTTAAGATTCTAAGATTTAATAGATGAATCTTAAAGTACTTACTAAGATATGCTTCTAAGAAAATCAATTCTTGTTTTGATAACCCTTGTTTGCCATTTATAATTGGAAAGCATTCCATATTCGAAAATAGTGTAAGGTTGTTTTATGAAAGTAATTAACTAGTAAACTGAAAGAATAATTAACTAGTAAACTGAATTTTTCTAATTTATTCCAACATTTATGTTTTAGAAATAATTATTAGTTTTAATAGATGAATCTTAAAGTACTTATTTTAAGAAATTGTGGATCCCTTAAGTCTTAGAACTATGCACATGGTTAAAACAACCTTATTGAGAGGACATAGTATAAGGTACTACTGCTTGTGGAACTAATGTTTTATAAATTAATTTGGGACATTCAATCTAAATAACGTTTAAATCTGTTGTTCCAACAGGAAACATACTTGTGTAAATTTTTCTTTCATGTCTGATTTTATTACCAATTTGATCATTAAAATAACTTGGGATCTAAACTGTGAATAATTCTTCTTGAAATCTGTTACAGTTCCTTAAAAATAACTTAAGGAAAAAGAGGGATTAGAAACCAAATTATCACGAGAAGAATTATTTATAAGTAGAAACTTTGAAAAATCACGAGTTTCACAAATTCTTTTTTGCGTGACTTAGTTTATAACACCGTTTGATTTCTTTACTTTGATTATACGATGTAATTTACATTTCTTTCAAATGGTCAGATGAGCAGGTGGAGAAAAGTCCTGTGAGTCTTACAGTTTTACGCTACTAATTAAAAAAATAATGATATTAACGTAATTGGAATCTTAGAAGCATATGTTGAAACAATTAACTTTATTAACACGGTTTAAATTATTTTTTGTTAATATGTTTTCTTAAAAGTAACAATTCCTGCAAATAAAGCAATTTTTTTATCTACACATATTTATTAATTTCGAATACATTAAATCTAAAGCTATGTATTTCAATATATTTCGATTTCACGTTATGTATAGATTTTTATGATTAGGTTATCGAGTTATAGATTTAATATGCTATAACTAAATAACTCTACAACAAACCATAAATTAACTGTCTTAAAATAAGCATTTTTATTTTCAAATAAGTTAGTTAGTTTCAGTAATATATTAACGTTATAAGCTCAAAGAATTTATTTCGTTTACTTTTTCCCTTCAGCTCAAATTTTGGTTAAAACAAAGATACCAATGTTTTTTGAGTAAAGGGTGTATTGTTTTATAATAAAGTATGTTAATTTTTATTTATGGGCATCTTATGTTTCTAACTACTTTCAAAATTTAACTCATTTATGCCAAGCCACAAAAAGTGGTTAATATATGAAAATCACTTATATATGTAAAAAGTAGTAAAGCATTTATTTATACCAATGTGGTATTCCTTACCTACCACTATAGCTTTAGATAAGGAACTTGGCACTTGAATTCAAGTATTTATATTATCAATGTGTTATGGTGGGTAGACCTTTCTATTTTCTGAAAAATTAATGCTAATAATCAAGCACTGAGCTACGATGACTTAGGCGATAAAGCTCTCGTGTCACAAAGATGACTGTTCGATACTAATTCTGCTCCCATATCACGCAGTGCAAATGTAAAACATCCTCAGTGGTAGACGGAACATAGGTAAGAATCCATTTAAAGTCGAGCTAACTGCGTGAGGTTTCCGTGGTTATCCTCTTCGTAGAACGCAAATGCAGGTTAGCTCCATCAAAAAGTCCTCTACGAAAGCCAATACGGAGGAATATAATATGAAGTTGAACATTGATGACCATTGACCAAAAATGAATAGACTGTTCAACGCCAGTTTTAAAATAAGCACTTGTGCTACCACTTTCTTTTTCTTTTGAAAAACGAAACCATCCTATTAAAAGACGCAAATAAACTAAATATATTGACCTTAAAATTGTTTCATTTAAAATTGTTTCATTTAGGTTGATGAATCAACTGTCCCCTGGAATCATAAAGAAAATCAACACACAAGGTGGTCAGTTTAAAATGATGGAAAACATAAACAAATTTCANAATACGGAGGAATATAATATGAAGTTGAACATTGATGACCATTGACCAAAAATGGATAGACTGTTCAACGCCAGTTTTAAAATAAACACTTGTGCTACCATTTTCTTTTTCTTTTGAAAAACGAAACCATCCTATTAAAAGACGCAAATAAACTCACTTTCAAAATTGTTTTATTTAGGTTGATGAATCAACTGTCACCTGGAATCATAAAGAAAATCAACACACAAGGTGGTCAGTTTAAAATGATGGAAAACATAAACAAATTTCAAGAGGCAGCAAAGAAATATGGAGTGACTGAAATAGATGTTTTCCAAACTGTTGATCTCTGGGAGAGGAGAAACATTCCTCAGGTGACACAATGCATAATGTCACTGGGCAGAGCGGTAAGTTGGCTTCAATTTCTGTCAATCAGTTTTATAAAATGAATGCACCATGCGTGCGATAGGATTACTAATAATGCTAACAGGTTGGCGAGTTCCAGCAATAACGTCGCCGTAGTAATAAAAAGGTAACCTAAACTGGTCACATTTGGCTTCTAGTCTTATTTTCTATTAAATTCCACGCATACCGGGTATCCGAAAAATGTACAATCTGAAAACTCTATTAAAATAAAATAAAAAGGGGTATATATGGATTGCTGCTTAAAAAATGAGATATTTTTTCTCACCAAATTTCACAATTTGCAACAAAGATCGTCAATAGATGGCTCTACTCTCTGGTAAAACTATAAAACAATGATTTTTGCAAAACTTCAAACCATTATAACTGAAGGTAGGTAGGTACTTTATTTACGTCGCATTGGAGCTGCGCAATGGGCTATTGGCGACGGTCTGGAAAACGTCCCTGAAGAAGATCTGAAGACATGCCATCGCGAATTTGATTCTCTGCAGAGAGGATGGCTCCCCTGGTTTGGTAGCCAGACGACCTGGGTGCGAAGTCGAGCACTTCACGGTGGAACAGTTTAACGAGGATCGATACCGCGCACCCTTCGCCCCTACGCAGTTTGATCGAAGTGGTCACCCAGCCGCTTAGTAGCTACCTTAAATATATAAAGCTTAGTTTCACCCTAAAGCTGCATCACGTTGTTGATACAAATGGTGATTATTTTGAAATCCTTGCTTTAAATTCTTTTTCTTCTTTTTTTTCAGTGCTAAGTGTAATCTTGTTGAACTTAGTGACTAATTTTGAGCCTCGGTTAGAATGAATGAACCTGGTTCGTTTAGCAGAACGCAGGAAACCGTTGAAAGTGTTGTACCACGAGTACCTCGGAACAGTGAAAGTTTTTTTGCCATGTAGAGGAAGAATTTTGCACTCAGCATATGTAATTGATACCTGTAACAACACTTACAATCCGTTAAGTCGGTTACTTTTTCAGGCTTTCCAGTCTTGGGCTAGAGAAATTTTCCTGTTTTTTTTTAATTGAGTATTTTTTTTTCAATCAATTCCATCTGAAAAGAAAACCTTATATTATCAAATTCGGCTTATATTATTAAATGCAAATACTTTAAGTCAGATACAAAAATTACTTTTTTTAAAAATTTGGCTTTATAAGTCTAACAAAATAAAAATTTCTCGTTGCACAATGGACAGACAAAAAAAAAGGACCATCTTGAATAACTTTTGATCTAATGATCGGATCTTCACGATCTAGGACTCATTCTTGATGGTTCGATGGAGTGACCTCCAATATGCAAATTAATAAGTGCAGGCGATATTTTAAGTTACGAAATCATACACATAAACGTATTTTCTCAGAATAAACATACCTTTTTTTTCTACTGATTAGAATTTCCGACCCCCAAAATGTAGGGCTAACCGCAATCTGTAAAATATGGTCCTCATAGTTTGGTCTGAAGAGCGGTCCAAAGTTTGGATCCCTTAATGTTAATTTTACTTTCTGTGTATTTTGCTGCATCTCGAAAAATTTCCAAAGCGAATGGAAAAAATTTTGTACACAATAATAAAATGCGATAATACAAATATAATTCCATGCAAAAAAATAAATTTTTGTAAATATTCACTATTTTTTATTATTTTATAAAACAATAGTCGAAATAATTTTGAATTGTAAGGTACAATTTTTTTTTACATCATTTTGAAGTATGTAATTTTACATGGCAAAATACAAAATTTGAGCAAAATCGGTTGAATAGTTCCTGAGAAATCGAATTTTAAGAAGTCGTACATTTAAAATTCGATTTCTCAAGGACTATTCAGTCAATTTCGTTAAAACCTTGTTTTTTGCCTTGTAAGATTCCATACTTTATAACGATGCAAAAAATTTATACCTTACAATTCAAAATATTTTTTGATTATTTTATAAAATAAAAGATAATAAATATTTAGTAAAATTTATTTTTTGCTTGAAATTATTGTAATTGTGTGCAAAGATTTCTCAATTCGTTGAAAAACTTTTCGATATATGGCGAAATAAAAGTAAAATTAACATTATGGGTTCCAAAATTTGGATAGCTCTCTTGATCAAACTATGGGGACCATATTTCCCAGATTGCGGTATGTTTATAAAAAAGCGGTATGTTATTCAGAGAAAGTACGTTTTTGTGTCTGATTTCGTAACTTGAATTGTCGTCGGCGATAATTTATTAGCATATTTGAAGTCAACCCCTCCAACTATTGAAAATGAATCTTAAAGTTTGCGTGATTGTGTTCGCTATTCCGATATTGAATTAGGTTTAAATTATAACTCTTTCCCATTACATTATTTTTATCTAGAAAACAGACAGATATGATGAATATTGTGAGTTACAAAATAAAACTCAAAACTTGAGCAATTTTTTAGAGTATTGAGAAAACTGCAGATATTTTAGCTTGTATTTTTATGGGGTTTAAAATGCTTGGGTTTTTTTTTTAAATTTTAATCAATTCAGAATTTTTCCCTCTCTCCTCTTTGGGCTCATGTAAACTATGAAATTTAAATAATAAGAAAATGAGCATAGTGGGTTTCATTATTTGACAGTGTATTTCAAGTTATGAAACTGAGTTTTTTGTGATTTTTCACAGAGTTATGAGTATTAAAGTTTTTTCAAACGAATAATACCACTCCCTACAGCTGCGGAAAGAAATTTCTGTTTAAGTGGTTGAAAATTTAGCGTAATAAAACAAACGTTACAAAATTCATTACTCAGTATGCTTAAAAATCAAAGTTTTACTGCCAATGGCTATGATAGATGATGGATAGAACGTTCGCCTTTTAATGAGGTGAGCCAGATTCGAATCCCAGCGGAGACTGATTAATTCAAATTCGCTCCCGGTTCTCACTGACCACAGTGCTGACGTAAAATATCCTCAGTTGTTGACGGATCATGGAGGTTTTCATGGTTTTTCCTCTCCATGTAACGCAAATGTGGGTTAGTTCCATCAAAAAAATCTTCCATAATGGCTAGTTTGCCCCAATATTTTATCCAGGAGTTCCCTCGTCTTCTGAGTAGTGCTCAAAACTATAAGACTACAGATATGGACATTGGCAGTTGTAAACTCAGAATCAGGTCTGCTGTTCAACGCCGATTGTAAAATAAAATTACCCCAATACATTTTAAGGAGGAAAGAAATTATTAAAATTAAAAATTTTGCTAAGCAAAAATTAGTTATATGTAATCATTTAGCTAAATAGTTGTAGTTTTAATTCTGTATGGATTGATGAATATTTCAAGCTACTAGAACTTGAAACCTGTTTATTGTAACCGTGTCAGTTTATCAAAGTCATCGCAGATTTGGACATTGGTAGTCGTAGACTCAAAATTAAGTCGGCTGTTTAACGCCGGTAATAAAATATAATATTAATACACAATGTGAGGTCCTAATGGCAAATTATTGTCATTTATTATATACACAGTGGTCTGAAACAAAACAAAAGTTGACTAAAAGTGTAAAACGCTTTAATGATCTGTTTCTAATTACGAATATGACGTGAGATTTTTAAAATTCAATGAGCTCAATCCAAAATATCAATTGAAAATTCAGGATTCATAATTGCTACTATAATGTTTGAACTGCGAAAACATTTGGGATTGGAAATTAAATACTATATAGAAACTGAACCAAACACTGTTATTTCAAAATATTCCGTGCAACATTATAAATTTACTTATTGTGCTATATATGCTAAACAATCAAATATATTACGATAGTATTTAAAAACTAATGCCATTTTCTTTTTTTGCTTCCCAAGATAGCATAATATTCTCCTATTTCCTTAGTCAGCTAGAAATTTTTTTTTCTGAAAGCTATTATATATATATTTCTACTATGTGCTGAACAAGAAACAAAATTTATTATTTAGATTTGATACAATTATTCTAATGGCAGGTTGCAAACTTTCGATTTTTTTTTTATCTAGAATAAATCTTTAAAATAAGTTATGAATCGAATCATTCGATCACTATTTGAAATACATTATTTTTTACAAAATCATTAAAGCCTTAATTTTTTCAGGAAAAGGTTGAATACTTACAACATAAAGAAAAAAAACATGTATTTTTTCAGATTAACTATTGTTTTCTATCAATTTTAATATCAATTAAATTATCCGCTCACCCCTCTGTTTTTAAATATATTAATGATTTACCAGCACCAATGAAACACTCAAGTCAAATGCACGGGGTGTATTTTTTAAATTTTTATTTTTAATATTTTTTTGGTGTAAATATGCTCAGCTGATTTTTTTTTCATTGTATTTACCTCTCTTTACAAGAATAGTGCAATTTTAGAAAGGAGACAAACACTTTTGAATTTAACGAAGTTTCTATAAATTGAATTACATGCTTTTAAAAAATCTATAAGAACAAGTAAAATACAATTTTTACGTATTCTACTTGTATATTTGCAGTCGTTAAATACAATGCTTTAACAATTTTGAAAAACATTTTGCTTTCAAAAATTAATTTTGTTGTCAAAATATTCAACAACAAAAAAATAATGTTAGTTCAAGATAATAAAAAGAACTAAACTAAAATCGGCTTGTTACTTAAGTTGGAAATAGTTGATACAAAATATTTTCTTTGTGATTATACTGTTCAACGAACATTTTTAATAACTTTTCTATATTTAGTCAGATGTTTTTCCAATCTCTGTGCGCCCTCTGTCGATTAATTGTAACTAAGTTTAACAACATAAATATAATTTTTGAGTCAAACGCCAGCAGAAGTTTTTTAATATTGCATTTTTACTCATTTCATTTTTCACTGTTTGAACATTTCTCTACAAGCATAACGTAATTTCAAAACTGTCATGTGCGGCCAACATAAATGTATTCAACAATGTTTCTAAAATATCAATAATTGAGACATATATTTTTAAAACGTCTATATGAGCAAGTAAAATACAATTTTTACTCTACATGAAAATTTGCGTTTATTAAAGACAA